CATAAAGTGCTGAATGGCAACACCTTCAATGTAACTAAATTGATTTTGAGCTATAATACCCAAGTTTCTTTCAGCATACCACTCAATTATTTCTCTTGTTTAAAATGTATCAGATAACTATAGAAAGAATAGAAATAACTTGTAGAAATAAATTCATTGTAAATCATTTAACAATTGTGCTAAAATTATTTTAGCTTAAAAGGAGAGCTATTGAGCTGAAGGTGTAACTCACTGGTAGCGCACTTTCTCCATGAGTAAAGCCCTGATTCTACACCCCAGCATAGACTTGTATGTATTTTTAATTTCTTCCTCTTTTTTTTTGTTGGTAGTGGGGCCTGAACTCTGGGCCTGAGTGCTGTTCCTCAGTTCTTCAGCTCAAGGCTAGCACTCTATCATTTGAGCCACAGTGCCAATTCTGGCTTTTTCTGTTTATGTACTGAGGAATCAAACCCAGGGCTTCATGCAAGCTAGGCAAGCACTTTACCACTAAGCCAGATTCTCAGCCCCTATAATTCCTTTTCTAGCTAATTTTGTTGTTGTTGTTCTTGGTCATGGGGCTTGAACTCTGGACCTGAGCACTGACCCTCAGCTCTTCAGCTCAAGGCTAGCGCTCTACCACTTGAGCTACAGCACCACTTCCGGTTTTCTGGTGGTTTACTGGAGATAAGAGTTTCACAGACTTTCCTGTCTGGGCTGGCTTTGAACCGAGATTCTCAGATCTCAGCCTCCTGAGTAGCTAGTATTACAGGCTGAGCCACCGGCGCCCGCACAAAAAAAAAATTTTTATAGCTACAGCATATATATGCAAGTGCAAGTTCACACACATTTTTCTAAATCTTTCAGAATAGAATACTATGAGGAGTTTTATCCCTTTGTTTTGTTTTGCTGAAGTATGTAGGAGTTTTTAAGGCATAAGTTAGTTTACAGAAAGGTTTCTGAACTGAAACAAGGATTGTTCATTTGAATTATTTGCTTTTATTATGTTAATCAAAACAAAACTCTATAGAGCCTCTAAGTACCTCTCAAGTTACATAAAAAACACCCAGTTGATGAATGAGAATTATAAAGATAATTTACACAGTTGGTGAAGAAAACACCCTATACTGAAAGGCAATTAAACAAGAGCTATATCACATTATATTTTAAACAGGAAAAAATATGTGCAGAAAACCATGTAATCATCATCACTCTTATACTTGTCTTCTGAAATGGATCTCTTAAAATTTCAGTATCATTTCTTTATTTTCTACTGTGTACAAGTGCTTCTCATATTTTAATGTGCACATAATCAGCTGGGAATCTTGTTAAAATGCAGATTCTCAGTCAGAAGGCCTGGGGTGAGGCTGTGACATAGAGCTGCTTCTAAGTGAGGTTTTTATGAACTGACATGCCACTCTCAATTGTATTTACAAAATGCAATGAATGAGGCATCAGGGGTCCCATTCGTCAGCCACTCGCTGACGTTCTTTGGCCATTCTGACCATGGTTGCAGGACGATCCAGTGTTAGGCCAACCTCCTCCTCCTCTCCAACCTGTAGCTCGTCTTGTTCCTCATCCTCTTCTCTCTTGCTGACTTGGTCTCCTCTATGTTAAAAGCAGAGGCTTCTCCATGCTCAAGGGCAGAGCACCTTTGAAATGTGTCAAGCCAGCGCTTGCTGCCACTGAGCGGGGTCGGTCTGGGGGAGAAGCACTGGACGGTCTGCTTCTGCGCCGTCCTCCTCCTCTTCATCCTCGTCACCGGCATGAACGACCGTCTTCCCGTAGAGCTATCCTGAAGTTTCTTGGCTTTCGTCCGGACGGGGTCGGCATCCGGCGAGCCGTTCCTCTGTCTGCAGTCGTCTGTCTTTAGGCCCGATGCGGTCTCCGCCCTCACAGGGACTCGCTGCGGGAAGTGACCACCCTCCTCTTGCTGGAGTCACCGCCGCGGTAGACCCCACGCGCTCCTCATCCTTCTCGTCTTGCTTCATGCAGCGAACAGGAGAAGTGCGCGGCCCGCAATGGCGGCCTGCAGCCGCCCTTGACACGTGGAGAAGCTCCGCCCTCTCTCTGAGGGTAAGCATCTTCCCCGGACCCAGGTTCACTGCCCGGAGCCTCAGCAGGCGCAGAACGTTGGGGTGGTTGAAATATATTCCAAAGTGTACAACGCCGCGGAGAATACTATTCACAGCCATGAGACGCAGGTGTGCAGTGGACTGCAGAGGGCGTGCGGCGGGCGTGCAGCGGACATGCAGCGGACAAGGAGAGGCCTGAACCTATGGGCAGAGCCTGGGAGAGCAAACGGACCAATGCTAGGGTCACTGAGCCAATCAGCGCCCAGGATACGAACACTGCGCTGTGGTTGGTTGCCTTCCATTCCATCAGCCAATCGTGTGCCGTGTACAATCTCACGTTGGCAAACTTGCGCAAGCGGTAGTGGCAGACTGCAGGTCCACTGTGTACAGTACCGTAGTCATCACTGAGGAGACACATGCTGTATTTTATTTCGATTTAATATTCTCTTAACATGTTGAAGCTAGCATTTTTGTAGCTGTAAATTTTTAGGCGAAAATAATTAAAATCATAAATATATACTTACCGCAAACTCCTGCAATTTGGCAGAAACTCTGTGATGCGGAATTGGATACGTATTTTTTAAACCCCGCCATGCGGTGACGCCACGAGCGGCGGGGACGACGGCATTTTATGATTACGGGCTGGCTTGTTTGATCACGCTCCACCATCCTGTGCCTTGCAAAGTCACGTGATGTATATGAAGGTTCAACCCTACAAGGAGCACACCCAGGGGTTGTCTGACAGTTCAGAATTGTTCAGTATTTCAGTGAGTTCCGGGAACTCTGGGACGTGCTGTGGAAACGCTCCGCCAGCCCCCCCCCCCCTCCCCTCCACCGTCCCTGAGAAGGAGCACGCGTCCATCCGGGCGAAGGAGGCCAAGGCGGACCAGGGCTGAGGCCAGCTCTGGACCTATGCGCTCTGTGGGGCCATCGCAGGGGGGTGAGTCAGGGGACTCCCTTCTCCAATGGGCCAAGAGCCATGGCACTGTCTCAAAGAACTCCTGACGGTTGTCATGAATAAACTGAGAAACCTCCCAAAGATTCTATTTCAGTGAAAGCCAGGCCCCGGTGGCTCACAGCTATAGCCCTAGTGACTCAGGAGGCAGAGATCTGCGGATCACATTCAGAGTCAGCCCAGGCAGGAAAGCCCGTGAGACTTTTATCTCCACTTGAGCTGTGGCTCAAGTGGTGTAAACACTAACCTTGAGCAGAAAACTCAGAGACATTGCCTAAGCCCTGAGTTCAAGCACACACACACACACACACACACACACTTTTTAAGTCTTTTTAAGTATGTACATTGTTTGTGACGTTATTGCATAAATGATAGGCTGCAGCAAACCCTGAATATAATTTTTATATTCATTAGGAAACAGAAAAGCTGACTTGCTTTATTGAGATATTCACTTAGGTATAGTGATCTATAAATGAAGCTACAATATCTCTACCAAAATATTAAATGTCGCAAAACAAAAAGTGTTCTCATTCTCCACAGTAATGAGTACAGAACTTTGCACTTAGGAGATTACAGTAAGTCAAGTTGAATTGAATTTCTATTTCTTTAGTTTCAAAGTCTATGTACACAAAATAAACACTGTAATTGCATTGATTTTTCATTTTATTTTTGTGTTGGTTGCAGAGTTTGAACTCGGGTCTCAGGTGCTCTTAACTTTTGTTTTTTTCCCCTCAAGGTTGGTGCTCTGCCATGTGAGTTCCTCAGCTCTCAGCTTGCTGAGTAGCTAGGCACAGGCCACTGTCTCCCAGCTTCAAATTTTCATTTTAATGGGGTTTAATAACATATAAAGGTTTCAGGATGATTGACTCAGATCTGAAACATACCAATTTTAAAGAGATCTAAAACAAATAAATAACTGGCTGCCATTATTTTTCAACAAAACCTCTTAGTTGATTTTAAGTTTTATCCTGTTTTCATGATAGTGGGTTTGAACTCAGGACTTTATGTTTGCTAAGTAGGTACTTTTACTCCTTGAGCCATACCTCCACCCCTTTTGACCTTGTATTTGAGATAGTGTCTCATTTTTTCATGTGGGCCAGTCTGGACAGCAGTTTTCCTATTTACACTACAAGCTACCATGATTCATGAGAATACATGAACCATCATACCTAGGTATTAACTGATATGGGGTCTTATGAACAAAATGTCTGGCTGGCATAAAACTGTGATCTTCTCAATCTCAGCATCTTGAGTATGTAATATTAGATGTGAGCCACCGAACCTCATGCTTTTGATCTAAATTAATACATATGCTCATAAATATTTACTAACCAAAACAATAAAAAATCTCACCTGAAAGTTTCTTTTCTTTTTTACTTATCTTCTAAGGCTAATGCTTAAAAAATTCTAAAATTTCTTAGATGGGCTTCAACTTCATATGGTATATACATAAAAAATAAATTAGAAATAAGCTTTGCTTAGAATGCCCATCAATAAGTTTGAGATTTAATTTATTGAAAAATAGTATGTCTTTCTGTTAAAGTCAGCATAACAAGGTTTTTATTTTATACCATTAAAAGCTAAATGATAGTAACTATACTAATAGTTTATTATTGCTCAAAACCAAGATAACAAGGTTCGAACAATGACTAGATTTTTAAAAACTAAAGCAGTCAATAACAAAATACATGAACACCATGTAACAAACAATCTAAATAACAGATTTACTAACAGCATTATTTTGCTTTCACAGAATACTTTAAGAACATAAAAAAATGACAATTCAAATTAGGTCCTGTCAAAATCAAATAAAGAATGAAACAATTATTTCTAAGTGTAAATCAATTTTAAGCTCATTAGAAAAAAAGCCACATTTTGAGAAAAAAGAAAGTACTTTTCAAAAAGTTACAATTGAATGAGAAAATCAATCAGCCCCTCAACTGTGCTGAAAAAAAGTCAACAAAACTGATCAAGAGATAAAGCGTTAACAATTATGATTTTTTAAAATGAAAAGCATAGTTTGAGGTTAGGGGTCTCCATATTTTCTTTTAATAAGATTTTGTTGTTGTTACAAAATGCCATCAAATATTCCCAGAAAACTCTTCATTTCTCCAGCTGCTTCGACAGGATGATAATAACTAAGGGGGAAAGATCAAGTGTAAAATTAACCTTTTGTAAAACAATTTATTTTAAAATACAGAATACAGTGTAATATGAATACAACATATTAACTTGAAGATTGTTCTGAGGTTGTTTCTGAACCTTAGCCTGTATAACCTGTCTGTGGGTAAAAAAAATACTGGACTTTGGAAACTGTAGAAGAGCCAAATTTCCTAGTTATTTATTTAAATATACTGCAAAATAATGTTACTTAATAAAAGTACGAACAGGCCTTGAATCTGATTCTTCCATGAGAGAAGCTGCAGTTCTCCTTCCAAAAATGGCCAGTAGTGGAGGAATTGATCAGATTTATCCTAACTTTGTCACTGGCCCTGTCAAGTTGTAAAATAATTAGATGGCTAAAATACAACTTTAAATTTTGAAAAATTAGCTTGTCTCATTTGTGTTTCTCAAATGATTCTACACTTAAATGATCAATATACTACATTGAATCAGTAAAAACTACTTTATCAACTCAATATATATCTTCTGTAATTGTTAGCATCAAACATACAGGTTTTCAAAAATTGAGATATTTGAAGCTGTAAAGTATCTCAAGAACCTCAAGCTCTAAAACTGTAAAATTTCAATGTTTTTAATAAACAAAAGGTTTGGCTTAATAAATAAAAGGCTCTGATTTTTAAAATGAATCAAAGAAAAAATACTGAATTTGCCCATAAAAGGTTTTTATTGGTATACTCTTGAAATGTACTTAAGAGTTCTAACCTGAAATCCGTTCCCTTTTTAGATTCACTATTTTGTATCAAGAAGTCGACTTTCTTAACATTAGTAGAATTTGGTATTTCTTTGGACTGAGTAAAGCACAGCCTCTCGAACACCGGTGACAGGCCTTGTTTTCTGTCATGAGGGGAAACCTGTATTTGGTGTAAAAAATAACAGTCATTGAAAGTTTAAGTATTCACACAACCTCCCCCCCCAGCCCCAAAAGAAACAGGGGGGTTCTTCTGCTTACAGTATTTGTATTTCCGGCCTGTTCTGGCAATTGCATCATGGAGGATGGACCCAAGTCAGACATAGCATGGTTTGATAAACAAGTATATGGCTTCTCATATGATGAAACAAAACTAAAATTTTAAATTAATTATTTGTAAAACATTGTAGTAACATTTTAATTTACATTAACAGTGTATATTTGAGGAATGTAAAATTGATCATACTTATAAAAATTGATGATCCATGTTATCCTATTATTAAAAATTGATCTATATTTTACACTCATGGAAAACTTAGTATATTTCCTTTTCAAGACGAATTTACATATTCCAAATTACATAAGAGTACCAGTTTTTAAGGGAGTATAGAAATAATCCTAGAATAATTCTTCTTAAAATTCAGTCTTGCTGGGTGGTGGTGGCTCATATCTGTAATTCTAGCTAATCAGGAGGCTGAGAGCTGAGAATTGTGGTTCAAAGTCAGCCTTGGCAGGAAAGTCTGTGAGATTCTTATCTCTAATTAATCACCAGAAAACCATAAATGGAGCTGAGGCTCAAGTGGCAGAGTGCTAGCCTTGAGCAAAAGAGCTCAGGCCCTGTTTTCAAACCCTACAGCTCTCTCTCTCTCTCTCTCTCTCTCTCTCTCTCTCTCTCACACACACACACACACACACACACAAACACACACATTGAGTCTTATACTTAACTACTTAACTACAGGTAGCCTAACCCACCAAATTATGAAGGCACTTGAATTTGTGACCCTTGACTTATAGACTCATCTAATCAGGACATTCAATGTTCCTTCACAATCAGACTATGGCAATCTCATCCTTAATACTATAGTAATTCCTATGGTAACACTGATCCTTGAGCATGAAATGTCTCAAAAGTCTTATTCTTTTACAGCTGTTTCTTTATACATAGAACCCCTGTTCACTCCTGTTTTACTTTTCTTAAAAAATATAAAAATTCTGGGGCTGGGAAGGTGGCTCAATGGTAGATGCTTGCCTTGCATGCATGAGGCCCTGGGTTCAATTCCTCAGTACCACATAAGCAAAAAAGCCAGAAGTGGCACTGTGGCTCAAATGGTAGAGAGCTGGCCTTGATCTGAAGAGCTGAGGGACAGTGCCCAGGCCCAGAGTTCAAGCACCATGACTGACCAAAAAAAAATAAAAAAATAAAATAAAAAATTATAAAAAAAATATAAAAATTCCTGAGTTCCAAAAGACCATGATTTAGTAGGAGGGGCCCAGAAATGTACATTTTTAATATGCATCTGCTGATGATTCTGAGGCAGGTGGCTTAACAGAAACATATCTAACATACATCTAAGATTAAGAAGGGTTGTCTAGAACCTTATGGATTCCCTGACACCTAATAATTCAGTCTCATATTCTGATTGTCTTTCAAGAGGATACAAAGCTGAAAGAATTACAAACCAAAGTTCTAAAAACTTGCCTGTTGGACACTGTGTTTTGTAATTTTCTCTTTGACTTTTGGAGGGGTAGCTTACTTCCCCTGGCACTTGAACTCGGGGTGTCTCCAAAGCCTAAAATACGAAGGAACAGCTGAATTAAACTTTTTTTTTTTTTTTTTTTGCTAGTCATGGACTTGAACTCTGGGCCTGGGCACTGTCCCTGAGCATTTCAGCTCAAAGTGAGCACTCTACCATTTGACCCACAGCACCACTTCTGGTTTTCTGGTGGTTCATTGGAGATAAGAGTCTCACAGACTTTCCTGCCCAGGCTGGCTTTGAACCGTAACCCTCAGATCTCAGCCTCCTGAGTAGCTAGGATTACAGGTGTGAGCTACCACCACCTGGAAAACTTTTTTAAAAATAAATTCCACTAGAGATTTCTTCTGTAGATATGATGCAGTTTTTAAAAGAAGAATTGACTCTTCTAATTGTGTATAAAATAAGGCAAAAGCTAGAGAAATAAATATAAAACATGTAAGTTAGCTTATGAGTCACTATGATTGAAGGTTCTCAGATCATCACTATTTGCTTACTTTTTAATTCAGGCAAACAATCAAGTTGAAATGCATTCAACATTCTCAAGGGTCTGCGTGTTATTAAAGTGAATCAGTTCATTGAAATTGACTGTCCAGTGACAGGGCTACTGAATTAAAGACCAGTATTCACTGCCTGCTATCAGTTCACAATGCCATTCAGTCCGGAGCCAGGAGTTATTGTCCAGCGATACAGGAAACTGCCTACTGACACACGTCAGAGAGATTTTCCAGATAATTTTGTGAACAGTGTAATAATTTTCTTGAAGATGATTAGCATTTTAGGTAATTCTTAATACTCTAAGATAACAGTATTAAAACTTCTAACTGGTTCCCTGAGGTAGGATACATTAAGAAGCAACAAAACCATAATGATGGGAATATGAGTCTCCATGAGAAGGCTGAAGACTGATTTCAGTCAGTATTTATGGGGGAAGAGTATCTCCACTTGTTATCTTGTCAAGCATTTAGCAAGATTTTCAATTTTGTGTTTTAGTGAAATGAATTTGTCTGCAACTCAAAGAACTAAGTCTCATGATTTTTTCATTTGTATCTGATTTAAATACAACTTCCAATACCAAAGAAATGGATCTTCTCTTATTTGCTCGTATCTGAAAAGTCAATGTTTTGACTAGAAGTTATTTTATTTTCTCTGTAAGTAGATGAATACATTTAAAAACATTTTTGCCCTTCACAAATATTAGAGATCATGTGTGATCTTAGAGAGCAGAAGAGTTTGTTTCATGAGGGAAAATTTAATGAACAGTCTGAATTTGAATGGAGTCTTTAATAAGAGGAGCAACAAATAAAAAAAAGCTCAACTGATATGTCAATATCCATAAAATAACCTTGACTTCTACCTACAGGAGGAAAAATCATGATGGGTCACTTTTGCAGTTTTGCTAGAAATTACAACCTTAACAAACTAAATCTAAGTAAGTACAAATAAAAAGGCAAAGATAATTAGTCCCAAGAACCAAATTAGAAAAATAAACAAAAGACAATGTATTTACCTGATGTTGTTGTCCTCTTAGTATCAGTTAAAAAACTACTAATTTCGATTAAGTTTTCATCATCAAAATCTTCCCAAACTTCACTTCCCAATTCAAAGTTCACATTCAAAACTTCTGAAAATGGAGATTTGCTAGTATCTTCATCTGTCAAATTCTGGTTTCCAGATATATTAAGATTTCTTTTGAATACTTTTGTCTGAGGGGCTTCCTCATTCAAAGTTGTAGAATAGTTCCATCCAGAAAATTCTATTATGTGTCCATATAAAAGATTAAAATTTCTTTTAAAATCATAAGTATCATTGTGTGTATACATACACACATACATATATATACATATATACACACATACACAAAACTTATCTGTCAAGTCACTAAGCAGAGCTCTTGAGCAGTAGTTTCAAAACACTGTGTCAAGCATTGTTGTTCGAGAGTTGTATTAAATCTAATTTTTAATAGTTTTAAAGATAACTAATTTTCCTCTTAATTTCTACATGAAAATAACTCTATAAATTTCATTATATAGTTTTCCTACCCTACAGATAAATAAAGACCATAAGAAATAGTAAAAATAGTGCAGTAGATTAGAAAGTAATTTGTAACAAGTTCCTAATTTATCCTAAGTAATTAAAAAAAGGAGAGAGAGCACAGCTAGGAATTAAGAAAATAGAGTTTAGATGCTGATATGTTAACTTTTGATAAACATATCTCAGAAGGTGTTTATATAGATGTATTTGTAATTAGAAGTATAGATTCAAAAACCCTCAGAGTATAGTTAGTAATTGAAGACTTGGGCTTACATGAAATTATCTAGGAAAAGTTGGTTTGAAGTGAAAAGAATAAAGAAGCAAAAAGAAAATAATCCATTTGTAAGATCAACAGGAAAAGCTCAGACAGTCTGAGAATGATTAAAGCAAAAGAAAGTAACAAATCTCAAATACAGAGGTCAAAAAGTGAAATTTGGAAATTATTAAATGACTTCATCAGTCAGGAGGTCATTAAATGGTGGTTTCAAAGTAGTGACAGAAAGGAACCCACAATTGAATGAATGAACAACAGTGCCCAGGTAGTAAGAAAGTGAACAAAGTGAGTGTAAAATTGCTCATCTGGGACTCTCAGTTTTGATGAGAAAGCAGCAAAGAGAGGACATGGAATCCTGGTTTGGGTCCATCTGTCATGCTTTCCCCTCTTTCAGTAGAAGCACCTCCCTTTTGCTTTGAAGTAGCATGCCTCCACTATTCCACAAGATCTTGTTGAGCCTTTGTTTATGGTTCCCTGCCTTTTTTAAGGCCATGGGGACAAAATGACCCAATGCCCAGACTATAGGGATTGATCAAGGATGAACACATGACTCAAATGAAGCCAATTAGAATGAATTCAGGTCTACAATTCAACAAGAAGATTGTATTTTTCTATTGAGGGTGTTAAATAGGAAGACAAACTTTAGGGATTATCTGCTACGTAGAGAGTCTATTTAACAGGGGCTGGGAAGGTGACTCAGTGGTAAAGCACTTGCCTTGCATGCCTGAGGCCCTGGGTTCGATTCCTCAGCACCACATAAGCAAAAAGCTGGAAGTGGTGCTGTGGCTCAAGTGGTAGAGCGCTAGCCTTGAGCTGAAGAGCTGAGGGACAGTGCCCAGGCCCAGAGTTCAGGCCCCACGACCGGACACCGCCCCCCCCCCCCAAAAAAAAGAAAGAAAGTCTATTTAACAAATCAAGCCAATCATCATCAGGCATAGTTTAAAAACATGAGGGAAAGGGAGAGGTGTGTATAATTTGAATGCCAAAGCTAAAGGCAGTTTACATGAGATAATGTTATCCTTTTGTGTGATTATGTCTCTTTAAGTAGAATTTTTATCACTTGCAGTAAAAAAAATAAAAAAGGTCATGACTAGCTAGATTGACATATGTAGCTGAAGAAGGAAAAGACAGGCAGAGAGAAAAGGATGAAGACAGAGGAAAGAAGAGAGGAATACTGGTTCTCAAATGTCCCTGTGAGGGTAGGATTAGATGCCATTAAGATTATAGTTGGGTCTCAGCTACTTGGGAGGTGGAGGGAGGAAGATCACAAGTTAAAGACCAGCCCAGGCAAAGTTAGCAAGACCATTTCAAATTGAGAGACTTAGAAAAAATTGTTATGTGAAGACCCCCAAAAACTTAGGTCTCATGGTTTCCCTTATTTGCAATAACTAGTATACATCTAGGATAATCTTACCAGACAAGCAGAAAAGGTCAAAAGCTATGTACAAATGACCATATAAGATGATGCTAAGCGAAATGAACCCCAAGATAGGAACACAAGAGGTTTCATCTTTGTTGCTGCTGTTTTTAATGTACTATGTGATTTTTTTTGTGTCTTTTGTATGTTCTTCCCCCATAGTATAACCCCTATTTCCACTGTATTTGATTCTAGTGCCCTGCATCTTGTATATACATTTTTCTAATTTGGGGAGGGGAAGGGAAATAACAAAATACTGAAAAAATGATACAGTTGACTCATTGTAACAATGAAATGTACAAGACACTAAATTGAAAATGAACTTTACAACTTTGGGGAGGGGAGGGAGGAGTTGGGGTGGTGGGGAAGGAAGGAATGGTAGGGGAAAAACAAAGGAGGGGGTAATAATGCTCAATAGGAAATGTACTCATTACCTTACTCATGTAACTGTAACCCCTTTGTACAGTATCTTTACAATAAAAAATATATATTAAAGAAAACAAAATACAAAACAGAAGGACTGCATGTGTGGCTCAAATGACTGTGTGCCTAGCATTTATGAGGCCCTGGGTTCAATTCTTAGTACTAGAAATAAATAAAATAAATGATATGGAGAAAGAGAGAGAGAGTGAGAGAGCAAGAGAGAGAGAGAGAGAGAATGCTTGAATAGAAGAAAAATGTTCCCAGAGACAGAGAAAGAAATAGTTGAAATAGGATGGGCTGGTACAATGGAAAGTTGGAAGAGTTCATATACTATAATATGAACACTCGGTTTTCCACTGATAACCAAAAGTCAATTTCATTTTGTAGAAATGGCATTGGACTGGGTATCAAGAGACATGGAATCTATTTCTGGCCCTGTATTAATTAGGTATGTGATTTTGGGCAAGTCATTTAATCTATCAGAATCTTGGTTTCTTTCATTGTAAGATGAGAAACTACATAAAGCACACTTCTACAATTTAAGTTTTATGATTCAACATGCTTTCTCATATAACATAATTTTTTCTTCCCTTCTTGAAAATTGGGATACATATGATAAGAATTGCCATGTTTGTGTTAAAACATTCTTAAGAGTAGTATTTGAGTACAGTTATGTTTTGCCAAGAAAGAATGTCTGAAAATATAAGCCTACTTAATTGTTACAATTAATAGTACCCGATTAACAGCTTTAACTACCTGTCTCAATTCTAAAATCTTTAGAATAAAATTAGATGAGGGAACTGAAATAAAGGGTAAAGTATACTATGAGACACTACAGTCAATGGCATAAGTAGAACTCTGACTTAGCAGATTATTTCCAGTTCCTGTGTGTCTAACTACCACACTACAGGCTCTCCTGAATGAAAGAAGGAAAAGAATAAAGGTAAAACAGGAATATAGTTATTACTGGGGGTTCCAATCTAGATGATAAGTTAGTATCATAATATAGATTAGAGTTGGGATTAGTGGGTGGAAAAGAAGCAAAAGTAGGAAAACCATGAAAATATAACTAGAAGTAAGCAGAGTAAAGGATGAACTATATAGAAGGGCAGGGAACAGAGTAGCAGTATAAGAAAAAAATTAGAAGGCTATAAGAGGGTTGAACATTTTAAACCTCCTATCCATTTTGTAATAATATCCAGGCTTTGAACGAGTAGGACAAAATGTTCCTTGTTCAGGATAGGCAGGTAAAAAGGAAATAACAATAACACAAGGGAACCAGGAGAACTGTTACAGTACCACACTTAGGTACATTTTGTCAGCCAGTTCTATGGTAGAGATTACTTCTTGATATAGAAGCCAACAGTCCCCAAGACAACCGCAAAGGAGACTAGAGATGAGCCAGAGGCCTCATCTTCATCTCATTACAATCCTGTTTTCAATTCCTTGGCTCAATGAGGGCATCTTATTAGGTAAACCATTCTCATTCTTGGAGATATACTTTCATTTCTTGGACAATTCCACCATTAGCACAATCACTACTGCAACCATTAAGCCCTACTCCATAAAACTGACAACGACTCGGGGATAGACACACTTGACTGCTTGGCCAAGCTGTCTGCCCTCAGTTTCCCTTAAGAGGTATACTATCGCTCTAGGACCGTTTTCTGCTTTAACAAAACCTAGCTTTCACTTAAATTAATCTGTGCTGTCAAATACTACTCTATTGTCTGCCCCTGAAATCTTTAATCTTTCACTCTTCAACTCAGAATAGGGAATTAAAAAAAATGATGTTACGGTACTTTAAAAAGTGGCAGGTAGGACTGGGAATGTACCTTAGTGGTAGAGTGCTTGCCTAGCACGCATGAAGACCTAGGTTCAATTCAGTACCACATACTCAGAAAAAGCTGGAAGTAGCACTTTGGCTCAACTGGTAGAGTGCTAGCCTTGAGCAAAAAGAAGCTCAGGGACATTGCGCAGGCCCTGAGTTCAAGCCTCAAGACTATCCAAAAAACAAAAAAACAAAAAACAGTGCCAGATACTTCACCTCTTTCCTCCCTACATTTATTGAGTGACTGATTTTTTTTTTTTTAATGCTAGGGGTTGAATCTAAGGCTTCACATATACTAGACAAGCCCCTCTATCACTGAGCTGCATCCATAGCCCTCTAAGATCCTAAATTATAACGGAAGGAAACATAAAATGACAGTGTCAAAGAATGGAAACAAAAGGCAATGACAGAGACAGTATTTTTTTTTTCAGAAAATCCCCAACTTATTATTTCATACCATTTTATTTATACTTACAATGAACAAACAACTCACTGATTGTGATTATTTCTCATTCATTTTCACAGAGTAGTGATTAATAGGATGATCTAGGGAAATAATGCTAATAATATCAGGAGTCATAATGAACATTAGCAATGATGATGATGAGTTAACATGCTTAACTCACTAGTTAGAGATACAGGTGAAAAGCAAAACTTGTAAGTCTTCTGTTCCCCTCAACTTACTTTATCTTTCTATTGTATTAAAGAAATGATAAGAAACATAGGTTTAAGAACTAAAGAGATGTTTTTTTCAGCTCTTCCTTACATTATTTTTAAATAAAATAGTCAACACTGTGTAGGGAAGTTGCCTTTTTGACATAGAGTAAGACCATCTGAAATAACAAAGCCAAAACCATGAAAGCAGCCCATTAACCCAGGGGAAAAATTGCTAAGTTAATCATCATAATAATTATGAACATTTTTTAAACAACATTACTTGTCAATCCAAAGTAGTGCCAAATCCATTCATTCTCAAGTCAATATAATGACAATTTACCTTTGCCCTGATATTCAAATGGTCCCTGTTGAACTTTTCCACAGATTTCATTCTGATCCTTCTGCTCAACTACATGCCATTCAGGTAAGCTTAAATTTTCAGATCTTTATTAAGAGAAATAAAACCATAAAAATGTTAAAGCCAGGCACTGATGGCTCCCACCTGTAATCCTAGTTACTCAAGAGGCTGAGAGCTAAGGATCACTGTTCAAAGCCAGTCCAGCAGGGAATTCTGTGAGATTCTCATCTCCAGTTAACCACCAGAAAGCACGAAGTGGAGCTGAAGTATAGCACTAGCCTTTACAGCAGACCTAGGTCCTGAGTTCAAGCTCCATGACCGACCCCCAACCCCCAAAAAGTGCAAAAGTTAAACAAAGGATGAAAATGAATCTGGCTTTAAAAACTATTTATTTGCATAAAAGAGAAAACTGTTTATGTACCCATCATTTCTGTGATAAACTGTATCTTGCCTTGGCAGCGAAGTGTAAAAGATGTTGTTGAATGGAAGAGACCAGTACTTAGCTTTACATGTCCCAAATGAATATTTGCTATCATCATATAGTCCTTAAAAATGTATTACTATTTCTGTTTTAAGTTAGATAAAGACAGATCTTTAGAAGTAATGTTAGGATCTAGTGTTGATTAGTAATTTCTTGTTCTGTATTAGTTAATAAATTAATTGACTGTCCTTCCTGGATATAGAACACTCTTACCTGGATGATTCTAAATCATAACATGAGAAAAGAACAATGTACTGGCATCAAGGCCTTCTGCTTACTAACTAGAAATATGAAGTTCGTGTCTTTTATCAATAAAATGAGATGAAAATACTTTGTGAGCAAGGTGGTTAAGATAAAAAAGAAATGATGCACAAAAGTAAGACTTTCAAATTATAAAGTATTTTATAAATCTAAGGTATTAACAATATGGAATGAGCACTTGAACAGAAAGTTTGGACTTTGTATACTAACATGATGTCCCTTTCTAAAACCCAATGTATTCCTGCCACCTAGATTAGAAGGCAGCAAATCTGACAAGATGACACATAGAATAGTTTCCTAGGGAAAAGATGGTTCAATGAATGTTCAAATATTCTATAACTGTAGAGTTCTAAACAAATGTATGGAACAAAAGATGACAAAATGTGTGTGTGTATGCGTGTGTATAAATAATATAGTTGCTTCACCATGGAACTAAATGATTAGCATGATTTTCTGTGAGTAGCCAATGACCACCTTCTGCTGAAAAAGTGGCTAGAGAAACAAATAATTTAAAATGAATATTTTAACTTAGATATTAACATTATATTTGTACCTTGATCTATTGGATATAGAAGGTTTTGGAGTAAAACCAAACTCTTTGAGATCCACATTTTGAGATTTATTCATCTGTAGCTATTAATGAAAAAATTACATTTATTTTTATTTCAAATTAAATCAATTAATAATTTCAAATTAACTTTAACACATCAGCCAAACATCAAAATTCCTGCTGCTACAGGTCCAGAACTCAATAAAGTGAGGAGAAATCCAGGCTAATTCCAACTCAAATTTTCTTCTCACATACTGGCAATCTTCATAGTTCTTTAGGAGGTCTTCTTTTCTCACTCTGTATGTTCTCACTGAAAGATCTATTTAGTCCCATGGCTTCAAAGATTGTCTACATATGACTATCAAAATCGTATTTCTAACTCAGCCCTCTCTCTTGATTTTCAAATATTGATATCCAATTGCCTGAAGATTGTCTTTTACATATAAATCTTGGCCTGTAAGTCCTCTCAGGTTTTAGTGTCGTGTATTGAACTTGGGTCCTTATGCATGCTAGGCAAGGGCTCTTCCACTGTGCTATATCCTCAGCCCTAAATCCATTATTTCCTAAAGTGACTCAACACTTTCTTTCTCCAAATGTGTTTTTCTTTTGGTGTTCTTGCCAGAGAGATGCTCAGCTTTCCTTCCTGTTATTCAAGCCAGAAGTCTGGGCATCATACTTTTGACTGTTCTTCTTACCTCACCTCCCATAATAATGAAATAACAAAGTAGTTGGATCATATTACCTCTGAACAATCTCTTAAAATACTCATTTCTCTCTACTGCTACTACCATTGCTCTAGACTAGACCTATGAATTATTGAAAAAAATAAAAACAAGTTAATGATTCCTCAAGTTCCTATTTTTAAACTTCTATCCCCCTCTCTATCTTGCTGCAAAAGATCTTTATAAAATATAATTCTGATCATATCACTCAATACTTCAAGAAAAATTATATATTCCTAAAATAGCAAAAAGGTCTTCATGATCCAGTTCCTATGTGTCACATTTTTTTTCTCTCTCCCTTTCTTTCTCCCTCCTCCCCTAATACATACATTTGCATATTCTTGCCTGGAATATTACATCACTTGCACCATTATTCTGGTATTCTACCCCTCTGTACTTGACTTCTCCTTTGGGTCTCAACCACATCTATTAAGAATCCTTTCCTGGCCCATAAAATGTGTATGGAGTACACATCTTATTTAACTGAAGTATCTTATACTTCTGTCATAGAAGTATAAATAAGGCTTATTACCTAAGTACTTCATTCAACTATGAATTCTTATTTATCATTATATCTTAACCTGAAATATTCTTGATGCTCAATGAATATGGAATGAAAAAAGGAGAAAAGAAGGAAGGAAGGAAAACTTATGCTATTAAAAATTAGCATGATCACACAGTGGTGATCATTATAAACCTCATGTTCCTTCTCATTTCCCAACATTCCCCATTTTAGCCATCTAACAGAATCTTTTTTCTTCTTTTTTTTTTTTAGTCAGACGTGGGGCCTGAACTCTGGGCCTGGGCACTGTCCTTCAGCTCTTCAGCTTAAGGCTAGCGCTCTACCACTTGAGCCACAGCGCCACTTCCAGCCTTTTCTGCTATGTGGTGCTGAGGAATCAAACCCAGGGCCTCATGCATGCAAGGCAAGCACTCTACCCCTGAGCCACTTTCCCAGCCCAGAATCTTTATTCTTATGAAAATCCTAACAAAAAGGATTTTCTAGGATATAATTTAGGCTCAAGGTAAATCTGCTACTGACTAGCCTACCAACCAGTAGAAATTCATTCTTTCATTGCTTGGAAGGAAGGCTCTAGCTCAGTACCCATTTAGATGCAGATCAACTTCAGAATTTCCATCCCAGTCCAGGACAGATGACGGAAGGGCAAGAAATGAAGTGGCTTGGTGACATGGCTCAAGTTGTAGAGTACTTGCTTAGCATGTTAAAGACCCAGGGTCTTTATATACTTTATATACTGTAAATACCTACCTAATGGATACACAGAACAAATATTTACTTTCACTTAACAATAAAAAAGAAAAAATGATACTAAAACTAACCTTGAGACATTTAAATGGAGGAAGAGATGAAACAGCATTCCTGTTCCTTAAGTCAGATAAATATGAAGAAATTGCTGACTCTTTAACTTCTAACTTCTGTGCAACCCCAATTTTACCTATAAAAATGTAAGATTCTTTAGATTAAACTTTAATTATTATTCAATATAAAGCTAATTTTATTTCAAATTTAATATTTACTTTTTCCATTTTGCTCCAAAAGAAAGAAAACTATTTCAGACTTGTAAGTTGCATGATGTAATATCACAGATAGATAACCAGGATGTTATTTCTAGATAATTGGGAGGCCAAGGACATTCACTTTTAGTTTGAAACAAAGTTGTTCTAGAGAACTCACAGCAGTCATGTCCACATGTATGTTTATTTTTGCAGTGATGATTGCATTCTCGGTTCCCAGGTTTTTTGCAAGGAGTTGTTCCTAAATTAAAATAGGAAATGCAAACCACTTTGTTATTAAATCTATTATTTTGAACTAATATGTCATTTTTCCCAGTCTCTTTTTTCTCATATAGAACAAGAGGATTATGATATTTATACTTCCTCAAATGTTAACCATATACAATTTTAAAATACGACTCTTCATTTTATCAGTATATATTAATTGTACAAAAGGGTTTTATTGTGTGGTATTTCCATCTATGCTTATGAGATACTTAGATCAAATACCCCCTCTATTATCACCCTATTGATTCTTCTATTTAACAATTTTAAACGGTTTCACTACTCTACTTTCACATGTGTATATACTTTCATTCTCTCCTCTCCCATTCGTTCCCACTGTCAGTCTCCTCATCCTTATCTAAAAGTTATTTCTGATAACAGTTCCTGTCTCACTGTTAGTTCATCCTGTTTTTCCCAAGAAATATCAAGATATTGATGTTTCTTTCAACCTTCCTATTATAAATAGAGCCAAATAAATACAGCCAAAAACTTTGTCTTGAATGAGGGGAAGATGAGGGTGCAGATTTAAAACATTTTTCTGTTTAATAGTTAAGCCCGAGAAGCTGGAGAGAAGCAAATTTCAAGATAGCTTGATGGCACCACTGTCTGGCTGTTAAATAGTATACACATAGACACAATAAATCTTATAAATAAGTGCTTTAGAGATATAAGAATTGGCTATGTGGGCTGGGATGGTGGCTCAGTGGTAGAGCGCTTGCTTTGCATGTCTGAAGCCCTGGGTTCGATTCCTCAGCAAAAAGAAAAAAGCCAGAAGTGGCACTGTGGCTCAAGTGGTAGAGTGCTAGCCTTGAGCTGAAGAGCTGAGGGACAGTGCTCAGGCCCAGAGTTCAGGCCCCACAACCGGACCCAAAAACAAAACAAAACAAAAAAAAAAGAATTGGCTATGTGAATTCAAGGAAATTCGAGTTTTGACTGCTCAAATTTAAAATAAATGTATTCAGGTATGCAATTTATCCTTTATTTACTTTTTTTTTTCTGGTCATGGGGCTTGAACCCTGAACCTGGGTGCTGTCCCTCAGCTCTTCAGCTCAAGGGAAGTGTTCCACTTGAGCCACAGCACCACCTCTGGTTTTCTGGTGTCTTTTTTTTTTTTTTTGGTCCGGTTGTGGGGCCTGAACTCTGGGCCTGAGCACTGTCCCTTAGCTCTTCAGCTCAAGGCTAGTGCCCTACCACTTGAGCCACAGTGCCACTTCCAGCTTTTTTCTTTTTGCTTATGTGGTGCTGAGGAATCGAACCCAGGGCCTCAGGCATACAAGGCAAGTGCTCTACCACTGAGCCAACTTCCCAGCCCTCTGGTGTCTTTTTTATTGGACATAAAGAGTCTCATGGAGTTTCCTGCCCAGGCTGGCTTTGAACCGTGATCCTCAGATCTCAGCCTCCTGAGTACCTATGATTACAGGTGTGAGCCACCAGTGCCCAGCTTATTTACTGTATTTTAAATGGACCTGTTTTGGTTTATGCTGGTACTGGGCCTTGAACTCAGGTCCTGGGCACTATCCCTGAGGTTTTTGGTTTTGGCTTTTTTCCTCAAAGTTAGCACTCTACCACTTGAGCCACAGCTCCATTTTCAGTTTTTCTGGTGCTTAATTAGAGATAAGAGTCTCATGGACTTTGCTACCCAGGCTGGCTGGTCCTCAGATCTCAGACTCCTGAGTAGCTAGGATTATAGGCATGAACCACCAGCACCTGGTTTAAGTAGACCCTTTCTTGATCTTACTGTCAAAACTAACATTGAGTTGGGGGAGATATTTAATTGGTTCTTAAAGGACAGACTGACATCTAGGTATGAGAAGGAGCACAATGATAAAGGCATAATGCTCAAGGGTAGAAAAATCACAGATTGTAAAAACAGACAGCAGCTTATTTTTGTGGAATGTAACTTTTAAGTGACCTGTGCATATTGAAGATGGCAGAGAGTTTTGAAAACCTTTTACCTTTCTCAGTCCTTTACCCTTCATTTTTAGTGCCAATGTTTAATGTTTTTCAAGCTATGTACCACCAAGACAATGTAGTTGTTTAGGATAAATGCAAGAGGTTGCTCAATATATGAGACAAGAGATAACTCTTTCTGGGCTGAGCAGGTCAGGCTATCAGGTACTATTATAGTTAAGATATGAAGAATTCTCCAAAAGCACATGTATTGAAGGCTTGGTCCCTAGTTGGTGGACCTAATCATTGAGAGGTGAGTGGATCATGAGGACTCTATACTAGTCCACTGAGGAATTCATAACTGTATGGCACTATTGGGAGGTGGTGGGTTGTGAGGCCTGGTTGGAGGAGGAAGATTACTGAGAGAGTGCACTTGAAGGGAATTATGAAATCCTTGAAGGGAATCCTGTCCTGCTCCCTGGCTGACATGAGGTGAGTGACTTTTCTCCCATGTCGGTCTGCCATGGTATACGGCCTCACCACAGGACAAAAATAGAGCCAGCCAAATGCAGACTGACGTTTCTGAAACTGAGAGTCCAAACAAATCTCTCTTCCTTTTAAACTGTTTCTCTCAAGTATTTGCCACAATGACAAAAATTAACACATGTACTGATGATTTTTAAAGTCCCTGGCATTTGCATGTTGACAGATAAATCACAGTAGTCTCAACTAAACATAAATCATTTTGAGATGATAAACAGTATTCAGATAAGACTACTCTGTGACCCATACTAGAAGACAGAGATAGGACTACCAAGTAATGATTTCTGAAACCAGACAGAATGCTCATGAACCACAAAAATAATGAAACATCCCCCTCTTCTGGCTAACAGAAATGACTACTATTTTTTTCAACCTATCTTCAATATAAAAACTAACAAAATGGCTGATACCTTACTTTCTGATAGTACTTAAGACGTGACCCTTGTTTTCCCTTCATTCTTCAGTCTCCTCCAATTTATTATGAAATCCTATAATAAATTCCTTCTAACTCTGACTTGATCTGCTGTGCAGAGGACACTCCGCTCATTTCCTGTAGCATGTCACACAAACCATATTTTCCCCAAAGGCAAATAAGGGGCCATTGACAGATGGACATTATACTTTGTAAGGAGTTCCATGACTTACCAATTAAAAAAGTAGATCTCAACTTGTAATTATATTACCTTTCATTGAGACATTAACTGGTTTGAATCCAGACTCCCATGTTCCAATGTATTATATACATTGTTGCATAAGTAATCCTCCAAAAATTTGATTAATCTGTCCACTTAGCAACATTAGCTACTACTCTTGCTAAGAAAAGGAATCCTATATTTAAGGTCCTGAACAATCTTACTCCAGACTCCCTTTCTAGCACCCATATTAATTGTACTTCCATCAAAACACTCTCACTTGTCATTCTTCAAATTGTCCCACACCTTCCTTTGTATCTTTGGTTCCATCTGAGAATACCTTCTTCCAGGTTTTTCTGAAGTCTATCAAGTTTCAAAGTAGCTCAAATGTCATCCATACATCAGCCATTCAGGAAGGGCTGAGGAACTGGAAGATACCATTTGATACTGGATCATGGTAAGATGGATATAAGGAGCTGACTCCTTGGCCAGCAGGAGGCTCCCTATCCAGTGGGAGGCTGCAATGAAGCCGTGGCTCACCTGCTTCCCTGATTCCAGAAAGCCATGGGACTTGCCACTTTGCCCTTTCAGATACAGCTGCATGCTGTAAAACTGCTTAGCTCCAGCATAGAGTTCATATCTTAAAGAACAAAGCAACCCATCACTTCTATAACCTAGCCCCTCTAGTTCAGTGTTACCCTGTGGGATTGAAGATATGAGTGGATATGATCTCACTTTGCTGTGGGTGAAAGAATTTGCCTATCTAAAGAATTTAACTGCCTTATCTGTCTTTGGGTCTCTTGTGTACTTCCTGCCAAATCTTTAGATGTGAGGTAAGACCAGGTATCATATGCCATATTGCTGCTTAGGGATTGGTTGGGCATGTGACCATGTGCTTGTAGGACCTGCTAATGACCTTTGTTTTAAGCAGAAAAGAGATATATTAAATTCATAGACTAAAAAAGGTCACTATATGGTTTATAATATGAAGAGATTTGGGAAAGGACAGAATGGATGCAATAAAACTAGTTAAGAAGAGTAAGAAGACTAGGCAAGAAAATGATGGCAACTCAGTCTATAGCAACAGCAGCAGAAGCAGAGTTAGACAAAATGGCTAGAAGACATATGGAAGGCAAAAATATTTTTAATGTAGAATCAAATGGAGTCCTTTTCTTTAACAGTATATTGTGTTCCTTTTAGCTTAGCCATATAAGTGTCTTAGAAGTTATATCTATATCTATCTATCTATATATTTTTTTTGGGGGGGGTCTGGTTGTGGGGGCTGAACTCTGGGCCTGGGCGCTGTCCCTCAGCTCTTCAGCTCAAGGCTAGCGCTCTACCACTTGAGCCACAGCGCCACTTCTGGTTTTTTTCTTTTGCTTAAGTGGTGCTGGGGAATTGAACCCAGGGCCTCATGCATGCAAGGCAAGCACTCTACCACAGAGCCACCTTCCCAGCCCCAGAAGTTCAATATTTAAAAAAAAAAAAGATAAATACAAAAAGATACCCTAAGCTGAGTGCTGGTGGCTCATGCCTGTAATCCTAGCTACTCAGGAGGCTGAGATCTGAGGATCACGGTTCAAAGCCAACCCAGGCAGGGAAGTCTTTGAGACTCTTATTGCCAATAAACTACTAGAAAACCAGAAATGGCGCTGTGGCTCAAGCAGTAGAGCACTCCCCTTGAACTGAAGAGCTGAGGGATAGCACCCATGCCTGAGTTCAAGCCCCACGACCAACAAAAATAAATAAAGCACCCAATCCATTTGAGTCTCCCCCGCCCCCGCCCCCCCCCAAACTCATGGATGCCTCCTTTCTCTAGCTCTCTCCTCCTCCTAATGCAATAGGAACATATCTTTTTCTTTCTTTCTTTCTTTCTTTTTTTTTTGCCAGTCCTTGGGCTTGAACTCAGGGC